TATCTGTCAAGCCGTGGATTTTTGTCCAGCCAGCGAGATTGAAAGGGAAAAAGGGTGTCGCCAAAAACATTACTATATTATATGCAAGCACGTTTTTTTTAAATTATATGCATGCACTTCTGTAAACTGCTACAGCAATAAGAGTAGGCGGGGTTTTTGTAAAGTATTCTACCTATATCTATATGTCCTTTTCACTTCCAAAGCCCATTAAACGCTCATTCCCAAATGGTACATCTTTTCTTTTGTCTCGTCCCATCCATCGTTCTCTTCGCATCATGGGCGTGCTGTCCTGGTGACAAAGTCCACAAGGCTGCCCAAATGTCCTTTGCTCAACACTCGCATTCTCAGATCTTAATCATCATGCTAGAACACATTACCATCCTTATTACAAATGTCAAATTTCAAATACCGTACTGATTTCATGAACCATCTTGGTAGCAAAGTCAACGTTTCTTGAAGCACTAGCCTATCAAAACACGTGCTAGTGCACGTGACCAGTAACTTTGAGAGGTATGAGTGTTATAAAGTTCTGAATAAACTTGCGCTACACAGCTAACTAAAATTACTCACCGTAGTACGTACACTTTCTTAAACACAATATCTCCGGAATGAAAGATTTTAGTTACAAAATCTTAATGTGTTCCCTTTGCATCGTGTCTCCATGCGTGATTAATATTGTGTTTTTCTGATACCTTCAGCCTGTTCGTTTATTGGTTTCAGCCAGCCCAAACCAGCCAGCCAACAGTATTTTCCTCTCACAAAAAACCAGCACCAGCACCAACCAGCGAATAGGCCCCTTATAGGTTCAGCTAAGTTTTGACATGAAACTCAATATACTCATACCTTATGTCATTGTAGACCGAGGTCTTCGTACACACGGTCTCGTCAGACTCTCAAACGGGGAATGAATGGCGAAAGTGATGAGGAAATGAAGCAGTGAAGGAGATCAAGAACCATAGGTGCTACTATTCATTCTCCTCTATACAACCATCCTTACATTACCAAAAACCGTTGTACCCCTGCTCCTACTATAGACACCGGAAATATTCCCCTACACGGGGACCCTTTGGCCAATTCAGTTGTACAAGTAGAAAAGGGCATCCAACCACTTTTGGGGCGCGGGGAGCACTGGGCCCGTCGCCAACAGCATAGCTTTCACCCGAGCCTTCGCCAGCTCCGTGCCCTTGAGCGAAATGGTGTTTCCCAACTGTGCCTTCACCTTGCATGTTTCCCTTCGCCAATTGCACTGTCGGTCGAGGTGTCTTGGCGAAAATCTGAGACCTGCGAGATCGTTAGACGGATAAACTGAACGATGTGGGACGGTGTCTGCGCGATTGGGGCCTCGCTGAACACCTTCCTTTGTTTATTCATGTGTACATGTTGGTTTTTTTAGTGATGACACTAGTGGGTCATTCGGATGTGTATATAGAGGCCGACTTAGGACGTTGCTTTGGGCTATTTTCTTTAGTTACAAAACATGTAATTTAGATACAAATTATACTAGTACTTTAGATTTATGCAATGGTATAAGTGATAGTTTAGAGTTTGATTTAGAGCGTTCATTTATATTACTTTTTAAGAGAATGAGTACATAGATTTGGTGTGGTTGCTCTACTAGGAAAAATAAAATAGATCCAATGACTGTAAGTACAAATGATTAGCGAAGTATTCCATTGGCAGCCAGTGTTTATGTTTAAAACCGATAGGATTATCAGTTTTGCTTTGCATCTCATGATAATTAAGGTGGACGCATGGTCTATAAGGAAACCCCTAGCTAGAAATAGTACATCGTTTTCTTCAATATATCAAACTCTATTTCTTATTTCCGAGCTGTCGACCCTCACACCACGTCCATCATAGCTACATCGACACCGAGCTAACAACGTGACATCCACAGATGTGGTTACTCGTCATGTTATATCTATGTGGCGTCTAACTGTTGGTTGTACTCCTAAAGCCTGATCCGACGCTGGTCGATACTATCATCTAAACAGTGTGTGTCGATGATCCAATAGCCACGATCTACATGTAACACGAGGACCACAGCCTTTTCCGCATTCCTGAGGAGATTGACGAGATGTCGAGATCGGTACTGGGCTTTCTTCTTCGAGAAAATTGCAGTTTGCATGTACCACATGGATGGATGGCATGTAGGCAAGGCAGGGCAGGTCACATTGACAGCACATGCAATGCAGCCAAGTGTGACAGGAAAAGAAAACGGGGCAGACGGAGGGAGCCACTCCTCCGCGACTACTCCTACTTCCGTGTGTGTCGCCCCGCTGCTGACTGTGCTCTGCGTTCTCTGCGGCGCGTGGCATGGGGAATCAATCCTGCTCTCGTGAAGGCCGTGGCGCCACCCCACTCCTGTGATGCTCTGCTTGGCCGTAGCGCGGCCGCGGGATGGATAGCCGCCTACCCGAGACCGAGAGCGAGTGAATACGGGAGAAAACAATAAAGATACCAGGGGGAGGGGACGGACGGACATGGCAGCGGATGGGCAATAAAGAACGGCGGGGTCAGGGTCAGAGGGCGGCAGCGGCAGGCAGGGCGCGGCCACGCGAGGTGGGGAGGGAGCCGAGGCGCGACACATGGAGCGCACCGCATCGGCAGCGTCGCGCCACACGCAGGCCGCCGCGCCGCCCTAGCCCGGCAAGCCAAGGAGGATCCCCGGTTCTGGTCGAACCACCCCCACCCCACCCGAGACGAGGCGACGCAGACCCAACCCAACCCAACTCAACCACCCAAACCCAACCACAGGCACCAGCTGACGACCTGCACCACCGCCCGCCCGCCGCTTCAAACACCCTGCGCCGGCCGCGGCCGGCCGGACTGACCGGCTGAGCTCACTCACGCTCACCCCACCTCACCTCACTCCGGGTCCGGGGTCAGGTCAGGCCGGCCGGGCGCGGGGCTCCCGCCAGCCAACGCCCGCCTGCCTCACCGATGCGGCGAAAAGGAAGTCCTCCGCTTGTCCTGTCTCCACGCGCCGATGCATGTGGCTGCTCGCCGGGCACCAACGACTCGGCGTCACTCCTCACGTGCCGCGGCAGACGGGCACATGTTCGCTTGATCGTATCTTATCAGCCATGATACGGAACAGCCAGCTTATAACGGTGTGGGAACTGGCTCTGGCTGGCCAAGTGCGGTGCGGGTTCCCTATCCGGGAAATGTGGCAGTAGGGCGCAGTGCTGCCCGATCCGAGCAGTTTTTGCTTCTGCGGGGAACATTTCCCGCACGTGCTACAGTTGCACGGCGAAAAGCCTTTTCACTGATGCATTGGCATTGCACGGTGTATCTTTCCCATCCCGAACGGTTGTATTTTCCCAGCTTCGGTTTACAAGTACTCCTCAGTGCGTTGGATTTTAATACCTGACCTTTTTTTCCCTTTGCGACAGAAGATTGGTTTTGAATCTTTCGGTGGTGTTGTATTCAAGGTTGTATCTGTTGTACGTCTCGTACGTCCTAATTTTGTCAAATAATCCACCAAAATCCCATACATTGGGCCCGTTTCGCTTTGCTGAAAAAACAGATCGAAATACTGTTCCGGCTGATTTGTTGTGAGAGAAAAACACTGTTCCGACTGAAAAAACCAGCTGAAAAGCACGGATTATAAGATAAGCGAACCGGGCCAATGCCTAAACGCCGTCTCCATGAACAAGCCAACAAATTTCTAGCCATTTTCAGATTGGCAGATTGGTCATATGCAATTTTTACAATCTGCTACGGGCTAACGAGAGGTTAATAGTTGGATTGTTACAATCTACTAGTGTTAAGATATTTAAAGCTCTTTATACAAACTGCCTGTTTGTTCCAACTTCCTACTTACAGTAAAAGCCACCGTTACGATGAGAAACTGAAATGAGGGCTGACAAATTTTGTAAGCCCTTGTTTAGTTGAGGGGAAAGTTGGAATTTGGCTACTGTAGCACTTTCATTTTTAGTTGGTAATTAGTGTTCAATCATGGACTAATTAGGCTCAAAACGTTCGTCTAGCAATTTCCCACCAAAATGTGTAATTAGTTTTTTTTTCATCTACATTTAATGTTCCATGCATGTATCGCAAGATTTGTTGTGATGGATACTGTAGCATTTTTTTGGAACTTTTTTTTAACTAAACACGGGCTAAGCTTTAAAGTCATATATGAAAATAAAAGCAAGCAACAGTACTCCATCGTTCATCTGCATCTGCTACGAGGTAGGAGTAGTATAGTACTCTGTCGGGGTAGTACTCAGTACGGGTATCATTCATATCTCATTCTGACTGTACTATCCCCGGACGTTACACAGTTCAGTATAACAAAATAAATAAATAAAAACTCTGTAAATCCTTCTTATTTGTCAAGAATTAAATAAATTCAAACTTTTAGTTCTAAATAAGTTCACTATTAAATTGAATTTTAATACTCCGTTTTCATACAAATGTTAATATTCCGTTGTGTATGGGACGGTGAGAGCACTACCCAAACGTACAGTGCAGTAGTAAAAGCGAACGCAAGTGAAGAAAAGGAAACTCCCCCCCTGCAATGTCCTTGTTTTTCGCAGGCTTTTCCCTCAGAAAAGCTGGCGGTAAAAAGGAGGAAAAGCCTCCCCGTATTGATGTTTTTCATTGAAGAGGTGAGCCTGCCGGCCTGACTCCGTCTGCGTGGGCGCGCATTCGCAGCACTCCATGCGGTCAGCTCTGCCCCCGCGAATACTACCTGGCACTGGCAGGGCATTAAAAGCAGTAAAAATAAAAACTGAAGCAACCTCCAAAGACCCCTATGACAGCCCGGGCCCGCACGGCCCACCGTACGGCAGAGACGCGCCTCCTCCATCTCCTGAGTCTTGAGTCCTACCTGACCTTCTACTTCTATATAAAAGGCCTCAGGCTTGCTCGCCCTTTAGCACACCGCTCCGCGCTCCCTGTCGCCTCGCCCGCCCGCCCCCGCGCGGCCGTTTCACCTTTCTCCCACCGGCCACCTCTCTCAGGCGGCGGCGACTCTTCGGGAGATACAGAGAGAGATGAGGACGAGGAGCGGGTCCCGGTATTCCAACGGCAGCGAGGTGGTTGCCTTGGTGGGGCAGAAGAGGAAGAGGTCGGCGTCGGCCGTCGCCGGAGAGTGCGCCTGCGGCGGGCGCAGGAAGCGGCTTACCGGCGGTCTGGACTACCTGGACGCGCTCCCCGATGACCTTGTCCTCTCCATCCTGACCAAGCTCGCCGCCTCCTCCTCGGCGCCCTCCGACCTGCTCTCCGTCCACCTCACGTACGTCTGCCCGGGCATCCTTTCATTTGTCATCAACTCCTCGTGTTTCATCGGACGGCGAACGCTCCCTCTCCCTCGCGCGATGGAGTAGTAGTCGAAATGCGTGGGGGAGCGGGGGCAGTTTTGCTGTTTGCGGAAACATTGGGAGCGTGTGATAGATAGGGATAAGGCGAAGGCCAAGGATCGTGCGCTGACGTGTTTGGTGTTTGCAGGTGCAAGAGGCTCAACGAGCTCGGCGGCCATGACATGGTGTTCGCCAAGGCCTCGCCGGCGTCGCTGGCCGTCAAGGCGGCGGCGTGGTCCGAGCCGGCGCAGAGGTTCCTCAAACGCTGCGCCGACGCCGGCAACCTGGAGGCCTGCTACATTCTCGGCATGGTACGCCACGCGTCCACAACCCTAATGAGTTGAGAGTAGAGTCGATCGGATCGTTTCCGCTCTTCTCGGCTCAAGCGCCGCACGGCATGATGGATGAGTGGCTGAGCGCATGCATGCTTCTGTCTTCCCTGCAGATTCGGTTCTACTGCCTGGGCAGCCGCAGCGGCGGCGCGGCGCTGCTGGCGAGGGCGGCCGTCGGCGGGCACGCCGCGGCGCTCTACTCGCTGGCGGTGATCCAGTTCAACGGCAGCGGCGGCGCCAAGTCGGACCGCGACCTGCGGGCGGGGGCGGCGCTGTGTGCGCGCGCGGCCGCGCTGGGCCACGTCGACGCGCTCCGCGAGCTCGGGCACTGCCTCCAGGACGGCTACGGCGTGCGTCGGGACCCCGCCGAGGGCCGCCGCCTCCTGGTCGCCGCGAACGCACGCGAGCTCACCCTCGCGCTCTCCGCGGCGGCCGCCTCGCGCCACGCCGTCGCCGCGCTGCCCTTCGCCGCCGCTGCGGCCGCGGGCGGCGTCGGTGGTGGAGGGTGCCCGCTCCTGTCGGACTTCGGGTGGAGCCTCCCCGAGGCGGAGCCCCACGCGGCGAACCAGTTCATGGTGGACTGGTGGGCCTCACGCTGCGCCGCCCAGGCTGGCGGAAAGAAGCCCGGCGGCGACAGCAGCGGCGTGGACGGCGACGGCGCGGAGCTCCGGCTGTGCTCCCACATGCGGTGCGGGCGGCGCGAGACGCGGCGGCACGAGTTCCGGCGGTGCTCCGTGTGCGGCGCGGCCAACTACTGCTCCCGCGCGTGCCAGGCGCTGGACTGGAAGCGCGCGCACAAGGCGCAGTGCGTGCCCATGGACCGGTGGCTCCTCGCCGCCGTTGGCGGCGGCGGCGGCGAGGCCCAGCAACAGCAGCAGTGAGGAAACGCCGTTTCTCCCAACGGCTGACATGACGAGCCAGCACTAGTCCCCTACACCAGGCCCACCACGGCTCCGCCGCAGCGGCCGTGCCGGCCGGCGCACCATAGACCGGGCGTAGCGAAAGGCGCGCTGGGGGATGAAAGCGTTTCGGCTGTTTGTTTCCCCTCTTTTCCACCGCAGCAGCTGATGAATTGAATGAGGTTTCTCGCTGCCGTTTGGGCCCGGGTGTCGTCTTGTCAGATGTACGTATTCTACTAGGGAAGGAAGAGCAGTAGAGATCCACCACCTGCATCTCCTTATTTTTTGTAATCTTCTGGTATTTCTAAGCGACGAAGCGTAGAATTCCAATTTCCAAGCCATTTTGTAATGGAGCTTTGGAGTTGAGGTTTCCAATGCGTTTTTCTGTCGCCTTGTGTGTTGGTGTTTTGGATGGACGCTGTGGAGGTACGGCCAAACGGCAGTTCGGTTCGTGCGCTTAGAGTTTTTAGGCCCCGTTTAGATAAAAAAAAATTTGGTTTTGGCTACGGTAGCATTTTTATTTGTTTTTTTTGTAATTAATGTCTAATTATAGATTAATTAGGTTCGAAAGTTTTATCTCGTGATTTCTTATCTAACTGTGTAATTAGTTTTTTTTCGTCTACGTCTAGTATTCTATGTATGTGTCGCAAGATTCGATGTGATAAATACTGCGTAAAAAAATTGGATTTGGGGAACTAAACAGGCCCTTAATCGGGGTGCGGGCGAGTGTGATTAGCAGCAGCGGCAATCGGTTGGGGTGTGTGCTGTGCAGCGGCAATCACTTTTCCGTCTCGGGGAGTGCGAGGCTTGGAGCTCTCTCTCTAGCTGCTCATGCTGTTGGGAGCGGTGGCGGTGACTGCAAAAGTGACGTGGTGTTTTGTACTCACCCCTAGGGCTAGGAAAAGACGAGCCAAGATGGTGAGTGCGGCCTTTACCGCTGCCAATACGCTGTACGTACTCCCTGCGTGCCATTGCCCACACGGTAATGTATAGTACTAAAGATACGTCCTACTGGCTGTGCTACGTCCTAGTACATGACACATGGGCATAGCAGCCCAAAATAAGCTGCCTGTGGTTCTTTTGTTTTTGTTTTGTTTTCTTTTCTTTTTTTTGCAAAACTCTGGTAACCAAGGAGCTTTTTACTAAAGTTTCTTGGTAAAATTGCTGCATGAAATACCCCAAGCCTGCTGCATCTGGTAACCAAGCAAAGCTGCGTGAGGGAGGACCCATTTGGAAGTCCTGCAAAACCTAAGGGCGGAGTACTATATTAAGCCTTTTCCCCGTGTGCCATTATAAAAGATGGTGGCGAACTACATGTGACTAAAGAGTTCGAACGCATCTATTTATCATCACACTTTACTTTTTTTTTCCTCCTAAGTAATTCCGTCACTTTTCCATCTAACGGTGACAATCTGCGTTGAAAAAAGTCTCAAATACCCTCACGTTGCTTCTTGACCTTGCCCTTCTTCGTTTCCTCCGCCGGTCGTCTTCGTCCGTCCTCCACCGTGCGCCAGGGCGGGGGGCGGAGTTAGCCGCGCGGGCGCCGAGGCCGGAGGCGGAGGCGGCCGCGCGAGCGCCGGGGTGGGGCGGAGCCTAGTCGCTCGCTGCCTCGAGCCTCCATCGCCGGTGCGCCCACCGACGGCACCCAGCAATTCCACCGCCCCGGCGCGGGCCACGTCGCCGCACCACCGGGCGTGAGCTCCCTGCCCACCTGAACTTGCCGGACCCAGCCCAAGCCTACGCGCGCCAAGGCCACCTCAAGCCGAGGACGGGGCTTGCCTCGACCCTGCGCGCCTCCCGGGGCACGGACAGCCCGAAGACGAAGACGACGGTGCCGGGGGAGGCCAGTAGCACGGTGGCGCGGTCGGAACCCGCGCGACGCGGCACGAGCGGGCAGAGATGGCAGAGACGGCGAGGAACACGCAGAGCGGGAGGAAGGCCGCCCGGGCGCGGCGAGGAGGAGGCACTGGCAAGGCACGGGAGCGACGTGGTCACCGACGAGCGCGCCAGTGGAGGCTCGGCAGGCGGAGCTGCGACCTGCGAGTGAGGCCTCGACCCCGCGCCGTCTCTGCCATCTCCGCCCGCTCGTGCCAGGCCGGCGGACGCCGGCGCATCAGGGCCGGCCCGGCGCATCGCGGATGTGAGAGGGAGAGGGGAGTCGGGTTCGCCGGAGTTGGGAGGGGGCTCGCCGGAGTCGAGAGGCCGTCGCATCACGGAGAGGGCCGCGCGGTCGTAAGAAGATGTCGATGGGAAAAAATATAGAGAGCAGTATATGCCTTGACAGAAGGGCATTTTGGACGTTTTCACTGACTGGGCCCACGTGTGAGTGCCGGCAAACGGCAAAAATCAAACAGAAGGTGAACGGAATGGCTTGGGAGGAAAAAAAGTAAAATGTCCTGGCACATTGGTGCATTCGAATTTTTTAGTGGCACGTATACCGCGACCATCTTTTATAATGGCACATGTAAAAGTCTCTTCTATATTTGAGACAGGAAGCAGGACCTCCATCATCATCAGCAAAAAAGGAGAAAGAACACTGTTAGTTCAAAAAAAAGAGGGCGGAAAAAGTTGCACTGCTCCATTGAGTACGTATATTGACACCCACATTCCACCGTCCAGCAAACCAAAAACAATGGGGCAAGCAACAACGGCCACAATAGCAGCAGTAGTACGAAACTTGGAGGCTCTGAACACTCCCCGCGTCACGTACGCGCGCACGCGATGCACGAACCGGCAGGAAAATCCGCGAGGAGACTGAGAAAAAAGAAAGAAAGAACGGCGCGTCCCTGGACGTTCCAGCACCGGCGGCAAGCGCTGCGCCCCGCCGCGTCGCGCCCTCCACCCCTCTCCCCGGCCGAAGCGCTGCGACGCTGCGTGCGCTGGAGACCTGCCGAACCGTGCGACGTGATGACCCCCCGGCCTCGGCGGCATGGACCGACGCAACGCGTGGTGTTCGAGCGACGCGACACCTGCGGCAGCGCAATGCGCTGCAGCGGCACGTATCGCCAATCAGGAGCCGCTGCGTGCGTGCGTACGCCCTCGTAGTATATTCCGATGAGATTTCCTGGCCGGGCCGGCGTGGTGATCTGACGGGATCCGAACCTAGCAGATCCCATCCCATCTCGATCTTGCCTGTCGCTCGGGGCGGCCGAGCGCCTCGTCGTTTCGCGACCGGCAGGCAGGCAGCTTCGTTCGTCGCCGCGCCGCGCCGCGCTGTGCCTGACCTCTGCCACCCGGCGTTCCACAGGTCGCTCTCGTGCACGGATGCGTTGCCCGTTGGAGTGGAGCTCAAACAGGTTTTCAAGCTCAGCTCGCGTCCAACCAAAATCTATCTCCCTCTCTGTCCATCATCATGCATCCAGGGATGCTGACTTTTCCGGGTGCTGGCTGGAGTGGAGCCTGGAACGAACTCAAATGGATCGAGCAGCAGCAGTTGGGGCGAACGGGGATCATCGTGCGCGCGAATTGGAATAGAATATGGTGGTTGTAACATTTCATTTCATTTCATTACATTACATTACACGGTGGTGAGGAATCGAATAGATCGAATACGGGTGGGTGGATCGATCGGCGACGCATTGGTTGTTGTCGTGGGGCCCTAGCGCGTATACATGTCAGTGTCACCACTTATTCGCCGTCTTAAACGTGGAGCAAGTGTGCGCCTCGTGCTTTCGTCGTGCGCCTCGCCCACATCCACAGGGCACGATGAAGATGATGATGGGCTCAAGCTAAACAGCTTTGGGGTGTGTGTGTGTGTGTTATGTGAGATTTTTCATCAGAATCGCTATCTTCTAACCGGTTGTTTGGCTGTCTCAGCAACCAGATTTGGCATCGTTGGATTTGGCTCGTGGAGTGTGCTGGGGCGTCCGATCTCCCTCTCTGGTTTGTGATCTCTCTAGCCCTCTGTGGCTTCTCTGTCTCCGACGGAAGCCGCTACGAGCCGCCGCCGCCGCCGCTTCTCCCTTCGACGGCCGACGTCCCCGGCGCGTGGACCTCTCCCTCCGAGGCGCGTGCGTGGGCGGCCCCGGCACCCCCGCCGCCCCCAAGCCGGCCTCCAGCACTGCCGCTCCCAGACGGCCCTCCGCTGCCTCGCCCGTCCCCATGCCTCTCTGCTCTCTGTTCTTCCATTTGTAAATTTGTAAGTTTGTGAATATTTTGATGATATTTATGAAAAATTGATATATATTTCTGTGGTATCTAGAATCCATAAAAAAATTGTAATTGTTTTGAAAAAATTAACATATATTTGTGTTATTCCCAAATTACATCACTATATCTATTAAATTACACTAAAAAAATTATTGTAAATATAATAATAAGGCGGTGTAAATATAGCTATAAGGCAGTGTAAGTGCATGTGCAATAATCTAGTTGTTGGAAGAGACTAAAACAACCAGTTGTTGGCTAGACAGATTCTTTTTCATATTCATTTAGGTGATTCCATTGAATCTATTGGTAGATAGTGGCTTAGTAGTAAGGAGCATGGAGTTTTAACACATCTTAGGAGCTTATGGAAACCGATAATAAATGACTTATATTTTTAGAATATTGGCCGGAAAGGGATGGATATCAAGCTGAACAAAATAGCTTATTTGGCACGGAATTGGCTAATTTTGTGTCTGGAGAATAAAAAGGACTCGATGTCAAGACCGATTTTGGAGATCAAGAGGAAAGCTTCAATAGTGCTGTGACTTCCTGAAGAATGTTGTCGGGTTTGACGTCTACATGGAGAAGCAACAAGTGGTGGACGAGGTCATTATAATGGATAATGTTGTCTTTTAATTCAAATAATTAAAAGACGGGGGCGCTGGCCCTAGAACTTAATAATTCATTAGATCGTGATCATTAAGTGAGCAACCCGGCCGTACGATTTTTGTTGGCACGGCACAGAGTTACAAAAGAGACAAGCAAGGAGTGTTCGGCAGCCATTATAAACCGGTTTATAAGTCATGGTACAGTATTTTTCTCTCCCAACAAATCAG